TGTGTGTGTGTGTGTGTGTGTGTGTGTGTGTGTGTGTGTGTGTGTGTGTGTGTAATAGCTCTCCACTCAGACATGAAGGTATGACTTTGATTCTGCAGCGACGGCCTCAGCTCTCAGCGGAGAGCGCTCAGAGAGTGAATGATCAATGGGAGTGATCTGATTCCTTCGGCCCGTGCCAGACCCTTCCTTAACCCCGCTAACCCAATCAGCCGGCGTTGCTGGGCAACCAGTCCCAGGAGGATGCGCTGGGAGTGGGTAGTGCGCCGGTGGCCCTTCGTGAGTACCGAAAGATCACGGAGGATATATTTCACTCAGACGGCTTCAGTCTCAGCTCAGTTGTCTTCTGCAGGCAGGAAAGTTGCAAAGCGGAGCAGAGAGACGGGCTCTCAGGGAGGGAAACGAGAGGCTGAGTAACGCGGAGTGATTCAAGGCAGTGTGCAGACCGGCTTTCACAAGTGAATCACACAGATGCAGCATGAAACGGACAGAAAATAAACGGATGAAGTGGTTAAAATATGGAAAGGCTGCTGAAAGAGCACAAGACGTCTTGCATATYCAGTTTTTACACATCACCTGAACTTTCGAGTCTAAACCTGCTCTTTTCTGCCTGATCCACCTGTTTGGAGTCTGGGTGGGCAGCATGAGTGACAGCTTTCTCTATAGGGAAACCACACGAAGACCTTTCATCAGTGGGGCCTCCTGGGCCCTGCTGTACACACTGCAGTACAGACTGCAGAACATTTATAGAACACTTTTGTTCTCTTTATATTAGAGAAATGTGTGTCCGTGCATCCTGCAAATAAGTTAAACAGGACTTAATCTAATGTTTTTCTTACTGAATGAATAAATTTGACTTTATGTCTTCAGTTAATGTCTCTTCACGTAAATTCAATTCAGAGTTACCCAAGAGCATAAAAGTAATTTAGTTGCAAATTATAATCCAGAAATGGGACGAATTGGCAACATTTTCATACTAATCTCCGTCTTTCTGTCCTTTTACCAAAATGAATGCAGAAATTCTTTGCTGTGAAACTGAAGAACCCTCTGAAATAACTTTCAGACCCAACATGAATACGGTTTTCAGAGTCTCTTCAACGTGACACATTGGCGAAGGACAGAGACACATTCTTTTCTTCTTTCGCAAATGAAAACTTCCAGCAACAAAAAGCAGCCTTGAGATTTCCGCACTCATGTTTGATTCAACTTCATCTAGTCTGGTATGTTTTGTAGCTTTCATTGTCTAGCAGATATTACAGTTGGGTTATTCGTTAATAAGAGAAAACGAAATAAAGCCTTATCCTTCAGGAATTAGAACCTTCATTTCAGCTGAAAATAATGTCGTAGAAAATTGTAACTTACAACAAACTCATTCAACTCACAGCATATGAGAACGTCCACATAACTGATTAGGGCCAGGGGGTGTCTTGATACCAGTTTTTCTCAAAGTGAGTACGACTACAAATACTTCAGTTAGAATAAACCCAAAACAGTTCATATCCAGCAGACACCTGTGTGAGGGGCAGGGTACACCCTGGACAGGTTGTAAGGGTGTGTGGACATGGAGACAAATGAGACAAACGGCCACTCACTCTCACCTAGGGACAATTCAGAGTTACCAATTAGCCYAACAGTCATGCTTTTGGTCAGTGGGAGAAAACCCACTCATGCACGGAGAGAACATGCAAACTCTACCCAGAAAGGTCCCCVGCTRAGATTCGATTTATCCGACTTGTTGCTGAGAGGCATCAGCTCCACAGACTGAGCCACCACAGGTTTCAGTCATAACTTTAAACACAGACTTTTCATCTGCAGCTCAGCTGTGAGAGATAAGAACGTTTCACGTCTATATCAGCTTTGTCAAGTGCGTAGCGTTTTTKACTTTTCACTCCCACTTTTGCAGCAGAAACAGCAGGAATGAGAGGCATGCAGTTTTTAACATTTTACATTTTTTATTAACCACCTTGAGGATCACTGCAGCAAAGATCAATTTAAAACTCATAAATCCACGATATTCTTTAGCCACAGTTTTTTGAACGTATCTGCAGCAGACTCAGTCCTACTTACTGTGTTTCTCCTCTGTGCCTTTTCTCTTTGTGGACTTTTACAACACATCAGAGCCCAATTAGCATTCTCCAGCCTCAGACGTCACTTAAGTCTGGGTTGGGAGGCCAGAGTTTGGGGAG